GGTGGATCTCTGTGAGTTCAAGGCCAGCCTGGTCTACAAATTGAGATCCAGGACAGGCGCCAAAACAACACAAAGGAACCCTGTCTTGGAAAAAATAAATAAATAAATAAGTAAGTAAGCAAGTAAGTAAATAAGTAAGTAAGTAAGTAAGTAAGTAAGTAAGTAAATAAGTAAGTAAGTAAGTAAGTAAGTAAGTAAATAAATAAATAAATAAATAAATAAATAAAGCTGAACTCCAAGCTAGCGTTCATGATCAAGATGGCTTTGTATGTTCTCACTCGAGTCCCCTTCAGCCTCACGCATCTGCCCTCTCCCTTCACAGTGGCCTCTCTTCTCTTCTTTTGTATCACTTTGTCTCACTACTCCAGGGCCTTTTTTCATGCTGTTTCCTCTCGGAAGGTTCTACCCACTTCCTCCTACCTCCTTAGGTTAGCAAGCTCCTTTAAAACGCTTTAAAGAGGCTTTCTGGCCTCTCTCAAAGCACTCCTTCACATTCTGTCACTGTAACTTACCTGTTCTTTTCATAGGGCTTACAGTCATTTGTAGTTACACACATATCTCTTTCTTACCCATTATACCATGCTGTTATACTCAAAGATTTGGGAGAGTAGAGACTGCCCTTTTATTCAGCAGCTTATCACAATACCTAGCACAATGCTTCCCATCTGACAGGCTAGGAAGAAATGTTTGTTGAATAATAGATAAATAACTTCCCTGTTTGGCTTTTCCTGCATTTTAAATTTTTCTTGATTTTAAATGACTGCATGCATTTTAAATGTTAAGTATATTAGTATTTTGTCTTTTGCTTGGCTTTCTTTGTGATGCTCTTGGCCCACAGATGTGTTCACATTTATATTTTCAAGTCTCTCCTTTTAAAGTAAACTGAGATGCCACACTTATGCTGAACTTACCCAATGAGGTCATACGTATTCATATGTACTTTCTTCTATTTTGTACTTTAATATTTCATTTATTTACATTTCAATCTTAAATTCACGTTGGATTTGTTCTATGACCTGTGTTATCCTGATAATTCTTATTTAATACTCTTTTCATCGATGGCTTATTTGAAATACCACATTAAACTTATGACATGTTTGTAAGTATTTGGGTGTATTCTAGCGATTGGAAGACTGTTAGCGTTAGGGGTCTGTTTATTTCTGAATTAGTGCCATTCTGTTTTATCATCTGATAAGGCAGATATCCACTGTATCTGAAGGTTTCAGTCTTCCCTCTTCCCATTCATGGTTCTTTTCCTTCTAGATACACTTAAAAGAAAAAAAGGGCCCCAGTAGATTTTGAATTGAAATTGCATTTGATTTATATAGTTTAATTTGGGGGAAATTGAAACCTTAACATTATTAAGTCTTCTCTCCCAGGAACATGGTCTATCTTTCCACTTAATTCTTCTTAAATTTATGATTCTCAGTAAAAATGTGTGGTTCTTATAAACACATCCTGTTTCCTTGCAGGTGAACACAAGAGACAACTGATTCACTGAGTGCTTTGGCATTCACACCTGCTGGCTAGGGGCAGTGCGCTGTGTGTTCATGTGTAGACTCCATGGTGGTGGGTTGTATCTAACCACAGGAACACACTCAACTTGCTGGCAGGGCAAGCTGGGAATTCTGGAGTGATATCCTCCAGGGCAGGGGTGTTGAATGAGTGGGATGGTTAATTTTGTGTGCCCAGCTTATTCGGTATTTCTAAATGTGCCTGTGAGGTTGTTTCCAGGTGAGACCATCACCCGAATCAGTGGAGAGAATAAAACATCTTTCTGTCCTCATGTGGGTGGGCACCAGCCAATCATCTGGGTCCCTGAATAGAACAAAGAAGGGGAAAAGAGGAGATGTTCACCCTTCTTCTTAACTGCGTTTGCTGGGTCATCAGTCCTCAGCTCTTCCCTGGGACTCACATCCTCAGTCCTCGGGACAACACCAGCTTTCCCAACTCTCAAGTGTGTAGAGAGTAGATACTGCAATTCCTGCGTTCCATACTGCACAAGCCAACTCCTTATACTAAATTGGGTGGTGTGTGTGTGTGTGTGTGTGTGTGCACTGGGCTGGTTCCATTGAGAACCCCGGCTAAAAAGAGTGTGTAAGCATCTGGCTTCTCCCCCCTTTTGTCAGAATGATTCTGATATCTACTCACAAGGTTCCCAGTAGGGTGGTGCTATATTTAACCCTAGGAAGGCAGCTCGATGCAGCCTCTGCTGACTCCCTTCCCATCCGAATCTCCCATCTTCACTCTTAGACTGGGGTACCTGGAACCACTCTTCAACAAACAACCCTAACACCTTTCTTTGTCTCAGGGTCAGCTTCCAAGGAAACCTAAACCAAGACACGATTCCTCCTTGTGTTTAGTGGATTATAAATTATTATAAACACTGCTTTAAGAACTATAGTTTCTAACTAGATAATAAGAAATCAATTGCTTTTTTTTTTTTTTTTTAAACTCTGGGCAGATATATGTCTGTTGTTTGTTTTTGCTCTTTTTGGAGGGGCCGACACCCAGCTCCCAAATAAATCACACACGGAGGCTTATTCTTAATTATGCATGCCCGGCCTTAGCTTGGCTTAGTTTCTAGCCAGCTTTCCTTATCTTAAATTATCTCGTCTACCTTTTGTCTTTGGGGTTTTCCGTTCTCTTACTTCTGTTAATCTTACTCTTACTCCATGGCTTGCTGTGTAGCTGGATGGCTGGTCCCTGGAGTCCTTCTCCTTCTCTGGCTGCTTCTCTCCTTTTTTTTTTTTTTCCAGATTTCTCCTTCTATTTATTCTCTCTGCCTGCCAGTCCTGCCTATCCTTTTTCCTGCCTTGCTATGGGCCAGTTCTTTATTAGACCATCAGGTGTTTTATAGACAGGCACAGTAACACAGCTTCACAGAGTTAAACAAATGCAACACAAACAAAAGTAGCACAGCTTAAAATAATATTCTACTACATATGTCCATATAAGAACATGTTCAAACACAAGTTTTTGACATGCAATCATTATGATTCTGAAACTTTCTTACATATATGCTCTTAGGGGCTACAGATTACCATATATATATATTTATATTTATACTTATATATGTGTGTGTGTACATACACACAAATATAGATACAGCATCTAGATCTGTGAACACCCCTAATATATATATACTATACTTCAAGACAATGTTCATAATTTTCAAGGAACTCCTGCCAGATCACCACCACCATGGACATGAGTCATGTGCAAGCCCATCAAGCTGCCAGGGTAACTAGAATGCTGGGCAGGACCAGTTCAAAGGAACAGTGGATGCAGGTGCTCATGGAATTTATAGACCATCAGGCACTCCATCATCCATAACATGAAAGGCCCAGTGTGAGAGGGTCAGAAAGAGAGGCTTGGAAGTCATACTGAGCTTGCTGTGAGGTGCTAGATAGCCACCACTTGGCCCAGGCCATGACCTGCAACTGTTTAATAAAGTGTATGTATTGTTTAAAATGTAAGTGGGCTGGAGAGATAGCTTAGCAGCTGGGAGTATTGTTGTTTCTGCAGAGGGCTGAGGTTCAATTCCTAGCACCCACATGACAGCTCACAGCTACCTGGAACTCCAGTACTAGGAGATCCGGCACCCTCTTCTGACCCAGGCAGGCACTTGACATGCACATAGACACACATGCAGGCAAAACACTCACAGCTATAAAATAAAAAGTAAAAAGATAACTTTCACGGATATTCTGGCTTCTTACAATCTTTATTCCACTCATGGTTTTAGAACTTCACTTCAGTATCTTTAGAAACCAGCTCCCATACTGAATTCACTTACTACTTCTAATAATATTACAATTGATTCTTTTGGTCTTTCCAAGTAGACAATTACATTAACAGGAAATAATAGGAATTTTGTCTCCTCGTTTTTTCATACATATGGCTCCTTCTTATTGTATTTACTACAATTTTCAGAACAATATGAAGCATTAGTGGTGAAAGAAATATCATTGTCTAACTTCAGATTTGAGTATAAATAGGATGCTTCTGCTTCTCTTTCTATGGGGGCGGTTAGTTTAAGGGAGCACATAGAGATTATCCCAAACAAAAAAAGAACTTCTTAAATGCAAGATGGCTGAGTCAGGTATGGTGGCCCACGCCTTTGATTCCAGAAGCATGCAGGAGGCAGAGGTAGGCAGATCTTTGAGTTCAAGGACAGCCTGATCTACAGAGCAAGTTTCAGGACAGCCTGGGCTACACAGAGAAACCCTGTCTTGAGAAAAAAGAAAAAACGCAAGATGGAATAAATTTTACTTTTACTTAAATTGAAAGATGTTCGTAAAAAATTAATCTCAATAGAGCTGATTCTCTTGTTTTAAAATGAGTTTAATTGTCAAGGTTCTTGAATAGATTGGTCTGTTTGATTTCCTCTCCAACTGCTTTATTTTCACTGCCTTCCGGTTCTGTGGATCACATAAAAAAAGCACTGCTTCCTTCAGTAATTCTGGGGCTTCAAGATCTGAGAATAATTGAGCTTGATTAAACCTGTAAAACGTAAGACAGACCATTCCAGACTCACACTGGCCAAACTCATACATTCCAAGCAAGCATTTCTGCTCTTATTCCTGGTTCGGACAGTCGCACCCAGCTATACAGAGGTACACACACACTTGGGTGTATATTTTCACATAGATAAACTTCATAAGATCTGACTATGTAAAGGCATCTTGGGCTCACTAAGATACCTCAGTATCTACCCCCCACTCAATCTATGCTCACGGTGGCCAGACAGATTTACGCACGTGTGTACATCGTGCATGAGGGAATAAAGGTGCTTGCTCCCAAATCTGACAACCTGAGCTCAATCACTGGGGCCCAAATGGTGGACAGAGGGAACTGCCTCCCAGAAGTCATCCACATGCATGCTGTGGCATGTGCATGCCTGTACACACACACACACACACACACACACACACACACACACACACACACAAATGAATAAATAAATGCAATAAAAATGTAAAATCATGTATAAAAAAGACGATTTAGGCATTTTTATAAGCACAAAGTCTGCAGGTGATTTACATGTTGACTAGCAGGTATTAGTTGAGTGAATTAGGATCCTTAAAATGGATTGTGTTCCTCTTGGACTTTGTGGAAATGTTCATTTCTGCATCATCTCTTGTTAAATATAGCTGACTCAGACCTTGCTTTAACTAATCTGGAAAAAAATTTGGAGTAAGGCACACTCAAAGAATCTTCAAGTATATTCATGAGGAATAAAACATTTCTGAAGGATAAAAATTACACACGGCATTTTTCAAGTGTGACGGTTCATGTTTATTGTCAATGTGAAGGGATTTATAGTCATCTGAGAGACAAGCTCCTGGCCATGCCTGTGAGAGCTGATCTTGACTAGATTAAGTAAGGCAGGATGATCCACCCTAAAAGTGGGTGGCATCATCCCCTGGGCTGGGGTCCTACATACAAAGGAAAAATTCCGCTGAGCACAAGCATCCACCATTTTCTGCTTCTTGACTGCAGATGCAATGTGATCAGCTGCCTCCTCCAGCTCCTGTCACCAGGCCTTCCCCACCATGATGGACTGTGATCTCAAACTGAGAGACAAAATAAGTCCTCTTTCCCTTAAATGCTTTTATTGGGATATTTTATCACAGCAACGGAAAAAGTAACACCCATATCAAGGAATAAGCTCTGCCCTCCACATACTATCAACAGATGGTTGCAGACTCAAGATTGGTGCCATCTGACTCATACCTTGGCAAAAACATCCCTTGCCTCTTAGTATCTTGCTTGATAAGGATGGCTGGATTATACAGTAAACAAAACAAAAGGCTGGCCTAAGTAAAGCAATATTCAAAATGAAATTTGGAGAGTTGCTGTTGGTCATCCTTCTAATGTTTAGAACTATCTGAGATTATGAATTTATATTACATACCCATGTGAAATGTAAAATGTATTCTGGTACTGATGGAAAATGTATATCTACCTAGTCTCTGCCTGAGCACTGCATACTTACACCACCAGCTCCTAATGCTGCATATAGGCAAGATACTTGCCAAAGCCATTTCCTCTTCTGCCTGGGAACCCACTGTACTACATTTCCGGCTCATGTGTACTACACTACAGTCACATGACCAACAGACAATGAGCAGAAATCGTGTGTGTCACTTTTAGGACTGACTCTAAAAATCTGCCATGCAATTTTCTTCTTCCCTTTATTTCCCAGTAGTTTGAACAGAATGACTTGAGTGAAATCCAGGTTTAAATTCTGAACCACATTATGAAACAGCTTCCCTGTGATCTGAGAGAGGTAGCGAATTTCTGTTATGTAAGCTCAAGGAGAGATGAGGATTATTTGTTACAGCAACTGGTATTTCCTGACTAATATATTCACATCTGTATAACTCTGGTCTAATGTTTGATTTCTCAGTAAATAATACTTGTCTCAGTCTGGGATCAGTGTCTAATCCTGATCATTTGGCTACAGTTAGGGTGAGGTGGGTCATTGTGAGCCAGGAACCACCACAGGAGTGTCTCCTACATGAAGGACAATACACAGGAGGAGGCTAAGACAGCCTGGGCCTCTAAGTCGACTCTTAAGACAGGAGAAAAGGCAATGTTCCATCAATCTTCCCATTTCTCAGGAGCCCTCACGCCAAAAGACCAGCTGTAAATCCTAGATAATTAACTCTCAGAGACAATTAACCCTCCCTTGAGAAATGCAGATGAAATAAAAGCTGAAAGCTCATTCTTATTATGGTGAAACGGGCACCGTTTGAGGGAGCTAAGACTCTAGTCTGTGATCTTTTTGCTGAGGACAAATCATGAGTGGAAAGGAAGAAGCTCCTGTTTGATAAGTAACAACAGTCCCAGAACACCGGGTTAGGTGAGCAACTGTAATGCCAGTTTAAAAACTCTGGCTTAATGTCTCAACTCTCTTTTTGAGAGAGTCCTGTTATCTCAGTTGGGTTGGAGACAGGACTCTTCATGTTTCATATAAGCTGAAGGAACAGAACACTCAGTTCCCTCCTGCCCAAGCTACCACTAGTGTCCCATCAGCCTGTTGGGTAGTGCCACCTAAAGACTGGAATCTCCAGTAAGAGATAAGGATGAGGAGACTGCTTAGTATATATACACCTGGGCTCTGCTCTCCTCTAGTGGCTGAAGTCTGGCAGTAGGGGGTCCCCTGACAGATATCCCAACCAATGTTTCTTGGTGTTTGTTTTCCCCTGAGCCTAGTTCTCACATGTACCCATTGATTCCATGAACCAATCTCCTAGTAAAGTCCCTTTCTTGTGACATTAGACGTAGGAAGTTTTTAACGTTTGCAAGGGGGAAACCTTTCTTGTCCTTTTGCTCATCTTTCCATCGACAGCCTGGCGAGAGACTATTTGAATTCTTGAAAGTAGTTAACCATATACATTATAAGATCTATATCTTATACAGATGCGATTGCTGCATGAGGTAAAGCTGAGGCGTGATCCTTTTAAAAAATATAGTACTACAGAAATCTGTGACCTAAAAGGGTCTGAACCATGGTGGGCACATTCTAATAATGCCTCTGTCAGGTGAAGAGTGTCACAGCACCTGACATCTCCTGACTAATACATTCAGTGTGGCGCTGGTCAGACAGTATCACTCTGGAGTATCTTCCTGGGAGTAGCAAGTTGACTTATTCATCTCTTAACTTGGAGACCTTCACAACTAAATTTTGTATACCTACCCTTGCATGTTCTGTCTATGAGAAATTATAATTTTTTATGATAATTTTTTTTAGTTTTTGAAGTTCTTATTACATCATTTCTCTCCTTGCCTTTCCTTGCCCCAACCCCTCCTATGTATTCCCCCATTCTCTCTCAAATTCATGGCCTCTTAATTGTTGATTGTATATATAATTATATATATATATATCACACATTTGTATATGTATAAATCATAAGTACAAGATTTTTCAGTCCATGTAACATTATCTGGATGTATATTATCTCAGGGCTCACCACTTGGTAATTGATCACCAGTTGCAGGGTCGGGGAGTCCTTTCACGGAGAAGATCATTTTTCCCACTCTCAGCCTTCCTCAGCTGTTCATAGTTCTTTGTCTAGCATTGAGGTCCTTTCCATGTTAACATGTCCATCGGTGTCATTGTTCAGGTCTTGTTCCGGCAGCCGTGTTGATGGGACTTCATGAGTGTAACCTCTCTGATAGTTCTGGGAAACACAATCTCACAGCAAACTCCCCAATCCTCTGGCTCTTCTAATCTTTCCATCTCCTCTTCTGCAATGATCCCTGTGCCTTAGGTGCAGGAACTGTGCTGCAGATGTATCAGTTGAGACTGGGCACTACATGACCTCTCTTTCTCTGCATTTTGATTGGTTGTGGTTCTCTGTAATGGTCTCCATCTGTTGCAAAGAGAAGTTTCTTTGATGAGGGGATAAGAAGAACACTTACCTGTGGGATAAATATTTAGAACGTAGTTAGGAATTATGCTGGCTCAATAAAGTGGTTGTAGGTTCTCATCTAAGACCCATGACTTCATTAGCCCCAGATAGCTAACTAGTTTACACTGCCAGGCATGGTTTCCCTCTTGCTGAGCAGGCCTTAAGTCCAATTAGAGAGCCATTGGTTACCACCAAGGTCTGTGCACCATTACTGCCCCCTGAGGGTTATCATGCAATGCTACTCATTGTTGTGGTTCCTAGGTGTCATAGCGGGATAGGACCTTTAACTGCTTCCCCCCTTGGAAGTTTGCATGGCACTTTCTGGTACCATGAGAGCTGCTCATCACAGAGAAGGCTCTCAGACTAGGCCCAGCACAGGTCCTTTTGTTCCTATGCCTGAAGTGCATACATAGCATCTTACAAATGGGGATTTCCCTTCCAACTTTTTGGAGGCGACCAAGGCTGACAGCAATATCCCAAAATATCTTGGGAATCTCTTGGATAACCTTGACCAACAACTCAAAATAGGACTTCTCATACCTGGTGTTGGGAAGTTTGTTAGATAGTCAATGGCTTTCGGGGAGGAGGGGCGACTATGTCAGCTGTCATCCCTATGTGGAGATTTCATTTAAACTAAACTAAAAATATATATATATATATACGTATATACACATATATACGTATATATATATATATATATTCAGACATGTCTTGTATTTAATTTTATGTAGATAGATAACAACATGACTATGACTTTTTGGACATCCTTATTCTTACTTTACTTGCCTACCTCTTTCTTCTGTATTTATCTCTCCCCCTTCTCTCTAATTACTGCCTCACTTTTTCCCATTTCCCTCTTCAAATTGCCTGTACCCTGCTGTTCCCTTTTATATTGCTCCCCACTCCTGCCACAGTCCCCTTTCCCTTTCCCGATTTCTGCCGTTACTCTGGATTATGCACTCTCATCCGGGGACTTGGGACTAAGAGCCACAGATGAGAAAGAATATTCGATGTTTGTCTTTCCGGGTCTGAGTTACATGACTCAATATGATCTGTAGCATGAATCTTAAAAGTTCTTATTAATAAAATCAAACCCGAGTCAGGTATTGGGGTGAACACTGGATGATGAGAGAAACAGAACAAGCCACAGCTAACCAAACCTGGCCAACTTCTCAGCTGATCCTGTTTCCTCAGACTGGAAGCTTCTGTGTCCTCATCCCAATGGCTCTCAGCTGAACTGCTGCTCGAAAGCCTGAAAGCTTAACCAGCCACATGCTTAACCAGCCAAATGCTTCTAGTTTCTGGTCTTCACGCCTCATATACCTTTCTGCTTTCTACCACCACTCCCTGGGATTAAAAGCTCACTTTCTGGGATTAAAGGCGTGAGTCACCATGCTTGGCTGTATCCTTGAACAGATGGATTTCTGCCTCTGGAACGCTAGGATTAAAGGTGTGTGCTACCATTGCCTATCCTAAGTATCTAGTGGCTTTTCTGTTCTCTGACCCCAGATAGGTTTATTAGGGTACACAATATTTTGGGGAACACAATACCACCACAATAACCTTTCCTAGTTACATCCATTTACCCGAAGAGTTCATGATTTCATTTTTCTTTTCAGCTGACTACACGCCCCACATTTTCACTATCCATTCTTCAGCTGGAGAACATTTTAGCTGTTACATTTCCTAGCTATCATGAACGGAATGGCAATGGACACAGCAGAGCAAGTAGCTTGTGTGGTAAGATGTCAAGTCCTTGTGCACATGCTGCATCGTGGTCACTTTGGAATGCATCTCCCTTGTACATGTTTACATGTCTCTGTGTGGGGTAGGTGTGTATACATGCTCATAGGTATTCATATGGGCTTGTGGGTGTACTTGCACACATGTGCAGTGCCTGTGGAAGCCAGAGATCAATGCCAGGCTGTCTAAATTGTTTCTCGAACTTCTATTTTTAGACAGGGTCTCTCACTGAACCAGGAACTGCAGACACTCGCCACTGTCCCAGCTTTTATAAAGTATGTTTATGGAACCCAAACTCGGGTTCTCCAGCTTGCAGCAGCAAGCCCTTTATCCACTGAGCCATTTCCCCAGCCCTTTGCTGCACGTAGTTTTTTAGTTGGAGTAACCATTTTTATTATTTTTTTGTTGATTGGTAAGAACACTAAAATCTAATAAGATAAGACACACTTTAGCGAAGAACACTAAATATACATTGGAAGCAAAACAGGAAAAACAGATTAGACAAAACAAAAAAAGAACACCAGAATAGAAACAGGGAACTTCAAGGCGAAAGAAATGGAACAAATAAACACCAACCAAGTAACAAGAAAATCTAAGAGAAATTCTAGAATGATGTCTCCAATTCTAGTTTGTGTAATAGATACTGCCTATAAGAAAATAAGAAAATAAAACTGATCCGGTGGTGGTGGTGCACAGCTTTAATCCCAGCACTCAGGAGGCAGAGGCAGGCGGATCTCTGTGAATTCGAGGCCAGCCTGGACTACCAAGTGAGTTCCAGGACAGCCAGGACTGTTACACAGAGAAACCCTGTCTCAAAAAACTAACTAACCGGGCTGGAGAGATGGCTCAGAGGTTAAGAGCACTGGCTGTTCTTCCAGAGGTCCTGAGTTCAATTCCCAGCAACCACATGGTGGCTCACAGCCATCTGTAATGAGATCTGGTGCCCTCTTCTGGCCTGCAGTCATACATGCAGGCAGAACATTGTATACATAATAAATAAATAAAATCTTTAAAAAAAAAAAAAAAAAAAAAAACTAACTAACCAACCAAACAAACAAACAAAAAGAAAAAACAACACCACCACCACCACCACCACCACCACCACCACAACAACAAAATCCACAAAAAACTGCATGTTTTAGAGGGAAGTATGCTTTGCCTTGGGCAGGCTAGGGACAGCATTGTGGATCTTTAAATCAAGTTCACTGTGTCTCTTTTGGAGCAGATCAAAACAGGAAATAACACTGACAGCAGGGCCTATTCACTTGTTCACAACATCAGCAAATCCTCCTTTGGAGACCCAATCCCTCTAAAGCTATTCTTAGGAAGAGTTTTTTTTTTTTTTTTTTTTTAAATTTTAAGCAAGGTAAGTAAAGAACTAAAAGTATAGACTGGAGTCTTGCTGGGAGTTGGTTAATTTGTCATCTAACCATTTTGGCCTTCATTGGTCCATTAATTACGTGGAGAAGCTATTTATGCTGCAGAGGCCAAAAAAGTGACTCCTCTCCAAGAAATGATAAACAATGAGGTGACTTCAGTCATCTGCTCCAGATTTGGGGAAAGAGACTGGACATGGAATTCCAGGGTGTCCCCTCCTCTTGTCCTCAGTTTCTTCATCCATCACGTGAGGATCATTTACTAAATAGTAGCAACTTTCTTAAAAAAAAAAAAAAAAGCACTTGAGAAAAGTCAGCAAGAGTGACTGGTATTTTTAAACTTCAGGGGGAAAAAAGTGGTAGTGGTCAGAAAAGGTAACAAGACCTTGAGCTCCGGAGCCAAGGCGGCTTCGATTAAACTTGCATCTTAGAAGGTTAGATTTGCTGAGGGGGGAAACGGGGAGTGTCTTGCCAAAACCATGAAGGAAAAATGATTCTGAACATGTCTTAAAACGGAGCTTTCGGTAAACAGGAATTACCTATAAAGAAAATCAGGAAGGCGAAGTGTTTCTTTTTATGAAGTTACATCCTGCCATAGAAAAGCTGGATCGGAAATAAAGACCGATGCTTTCCCAACTGCATACCAACCCGGCCATTATTTCATCAAGGAAAATCTGAGCAAAAAGCTCACTCAGCTCAGCAACGAGTGAAAACAAGAAAACCAACAGAGGTTTGAATGCCCCGAAGAAGCCAGACCAGCAACGGCTACTGCTAAACATCTGGAGGAAGGGTGCAAACAACCTTTGCTGTGTGGTTTCGGGTTTCTTTGTTGCAGGACCCTTACATTTCAGCAATACTTACTCCTGACTTTTTTTTTTTTTTCTGGAAAAGAAAGATATATGGGTGCCCAAGAAAGTGAGACTTATAAGACTTACTTTTTTTTTTTTTTTTGGTTATTCGTTGTGTGTTTGCGGGGTCGTCTAGCTTTCCTAGCTTCTGCAATGGTACTTCTCTACTTTGCTCCTCACTTCTCTGATTTGCCATCGCCGTTCTTAACACCTTTCCGTTTCATCCTCCCACTCTCAAAGGCGAGGCTATTCCTCCGGAGAAATAGGTTCCCATGGCTGTTCGGCTGCAGTGGCAGGTGCCAGTCTCTACTATCAAAGTGGAAAGCAGACCATAGCCTCCGCTCTCTCCAGTCCACCCCGTCAACTCCCGACTCCACCGCACGATCCTCAAGACACACACCTCCTCCTCCAACCTCGCATCCTCTCGCACACCCTGCGCGGCCCGCATGCCAGGATGCCCGCCACCACAGTAACGCTCAACCCACTCGGCGGCCCCACCCAGGGCCGTCCCGCCTCCCACGCGCGCACCAATGGCCGCGGCCCTCGGCTCCCAGCGGGCCCTTTGATAGGGCAGAGCCACCTGACAGTCTCAGCGCGGGTCCCGCCCCCTCCCGCACCCCTCGGGATCCGGAGCAAGCCGAGCATCAGCGAGAGTAGCTGCGAGAAGCCGCGGCGGTGGCGGCGGCGCGTCGGTGCAGTTGCGCCATCTGTCAGGAGCGCAGCCGGCGGGGAGGGGGCTCCGCGGAGAAGGAGGAGGGGTCGCCGTGCGCCGGGCCTCCGAGACCCGCCCGCCGGCCAGGAGCGCAGCGAGGCCGCCGCGAGCCGGAGCGCTCCGAGGACTCCCCGGGCGCACACAAAGCCGCCGCCCGCGCCAGGGAGGGACCGGGCTGCCGGGCCGGGGACACCGGCGCCGCCCCCTCGGCGCTTCGCGAGGCCCACGAGCTCCCGGGCCCCGCCGCGGAGCCGCCGGAGCCGCCTGGGCCGCGCCGGAGGAGGGCGGGGAGAGGACCATGTGAATGTGCTCCGGAGCCGAGCGCCACGCCACGCAGGTAAGCGGCCGGGGGGGGGCGATGCGCGGAGCCGCGGGATGCTGCGGAGACGCCGGCCGGGCCCAGCGCCCCCGCACGGGCTGCCCCCGCTGCGGTCCCGCCGCGCCGCCTGCGGGGCGCCGAGCCCCGGGCTCCCCGCGACGCAGGACACTCATGCGGGGTGCCGCCCCGAGGCTGCGCGGGCACCGGGGTACATTTCCTCGGCCGCCGGCGGGCGCCGGGTGAAAAATAGGAATTGGCTTGGGGGCGAGGTTGGCCCAGCTCCGCCCCCGCCCTCCTTTCGCGGCCCCCCGCGGGGACCCGGGCTGTGTGTGTTGTTTTAATGTCAGGGATGATGTAATCACTTAATAATTGATGCCCCGTGTTGCTTTCCTCCCCACCCAACCCCTGCCCCACTCCCCCACCTCTCGGCCTCCTCCCTCGGCGGCCCTCGCCTTTCCCCAGCGCATCCTCCTGCCTATTTCTGGAACCTCCCTTGCACTTCCCCCATCATCCCCTTCACCCTTCCTGTGCCACCACCCACCCACCCTTCCCCTTTCCCCTGTGCCTGGCCTGGCCTCCTCTTCCTCTGTCCCCCCACCCCTTCTGCTCTGTCAAGCTCCCCTCTCCACTCGCTGGATTTCCTCCCTACTTCCCTAGGTCGGGGGATGGTTTTGTTTGGTCTCCTCCAGGCTCTCTTATCTCTGAGGCCCCAGGCAGAAGGGACTGGGCTAGAAAGAGGCCACCAAGCTTGGGCCCGGGAGGCGTTTGCTGGGACTCACTGGGAGGAGGGATAATAAAATCACCCATTTTGCCCCTCCTTCCTCCAATAAATCAGACTTGCTCAGTGTGTGTGTGTGTGTGTGTGTGTGTGTGTGTGTGTGTGTGTGTGTGTGTGTGTGTGTGACACAAAGAGCCCTTTCAGTTCATAGAGAAGAGACATAAAGTACCCAGGGCACCATGCTTCTTGTTTCTCACACGGGGGCTTCCCTTTCTTTCTGATGAAACTGTTGGTCTTTTAGTCCTTTCTGACACATTTACCAAAAAATGAGAGCTCCCAGATCCCGGGCGGCAGGTGCGGGCATTCTGCTGTATTCACAGAGTGGTAACGTTGAGTGGCAACTGCAGTTTCTTCTATTTAAGGGGGTGGGAGATTATTTCAGCTGTCTTAGGAGTTGCTATACTTTCAAGGAAACCTTCTCTCCTCCCCCATTCCCCCTTCTTTCTTTTTGAGGATAGGTACTGATACCTGAGACAGGATAAATTGATGGAGGATCAGAAAAAAAAAATTGTTCATGAGTCAGAATCAAACTGTTTAAGAAGACTGAAGCAGCCCTTAAGGTCCAAGGCCGCTTTGGTGAAATGTGCTCTGGTCTGCCCAGCAATGTTGCTTTGCCCTTTTATTTAAGTAACTGGGACTGTGGATATGACAGTGTGGGGCTGGCATTTGGAAGACCACCGGAGATAGCACTTGTTGGGTTCAAGGTTGCCTTTGAATGCCCACATCCTTCCTCTCACCACCAAAGCAACTACAATACTTTCCATCCTTTGTGCTCGGTGTCCCTGTCTCTGCCCCGTGAGGACCAAGCATCTTCCGACGAAGAAAACCCTCAGATTTTGGAGGAAGTGGTTTCAACTCATAAACTTTGGGGGTAGTTAACTATAAACGGGATGTAGGTGTCTGAATTCAGAACCTATGATGTTCCTCTTAAAGTGGAAACATTAATGTAAATCTCAGTCTTGATATGTCAAGACTTAAGTTGGATCTGCTGACTCCTGGGTTGTGGTTCCTTGGCTGTTGAAAGTAACAAAACCGTCCCAAGTTTATTCTTTAGCCATTTTAGCTGAAAAGAATTGTGATGTTTTAAACTCTGACATTCCCCGTGGAACTTTTTACATTAAAAAAAAAAAATAGGCAGAAGGGTTAACACTAAATGTTCTCTGAAAACAAAGCCTGGTTTGTTGGGATACCAGACCCAGAGAGGAAAGTCAGCACACAGTAAATGGACACTGTGCTGCCCAAGTTAGAGGAACTTATTAGTGGTAAGGTTGGACATGAGCGAATGCTCTCGACTTCTCCGGGGTCTGGAGTCTCCAACCCCATCAGATTTGCCTGAAGTCTTTAGCCTCCATGCCCAGCACAAATGTCATCAATTTTCTAAAGGCTTCTCCAACTCCTCTGCTCCAAACCACCAGGTCTCTAAATTTGTCTTCCAACGTCATCATCGGATACTGTTTTGTCTTCTGTCTGTTTCGACCATCAATTGGTCAGCACCTTGAGAAGAGAACCTAATCTGACTTGTGTCATTTTCTATCAAGTTTTACTTTAGTTGGTATTACTTGGTGGTTTGATTTAGTGAGCAACAAATGTGAATTAGGTCAATGATATGTAGCTAACATCTGTTTCAAGTAGACTCATGTTAGCAGCTTTAACAGGCCTGAAAATATAGAATGGTACAAAAACAAAAGCTATTTATTCTTGCCCATGTGATAGTTCCCAGTAGGTGTTTTTGTTCAGCGGGTAGCTTTCCTCTGTGCAGTGAGTGACTCTGGGTCCCACTCTTCGACCGTGCCATAGCTTTCCATGGTAACCTGTTTTAGCTGACAGATTGGCGGGATAAAGAATTGGGGAGGGTACATCTCCCTTTAGCATGCTTTGGTCCGGATGTGGCACATGTCCCTTCTGCTCAGTCTTCAGGAGAGATCTGACTATGTGCCCAGACTTAGCTTCAGGGGAATCTGAGAAGTCTAGGTTAGCCATTTGCCCAGAGAAAAGAATAAGAAGTGTCTATTAAACAGCTTTGTTTAACACTTAGCCAAGCACGTCCACTCACTCTCCTTAAAAAGCTTAAACGATGATGAGAATTAAGTAGTAAATAAAAGCCAACACCCGTCATTGTTTTTGTTCCTTTCATTTTATAAGTTCAGGTATTTTCATCTTCAGCATATTAAAAACCTGGCTTTTGGTCATTTCCAGCGGCCACCACTTACCATTGGGCAGTCCCTTACCATACCATTGTTTAATGCCGCTCTGTGGCCTTTGATGTAGTCTTTTACCTCAGAAGCACCTATCTTGGCCTAGTTTTTATCTGGCAGTTCTGTAGACTCCAAAGAGGCTAGGGAGGATCCTTACAAATCTTGGTTCCATTTTACTTAGTTTCCTTAAGAAATTAAGAAAAGTAAAAAATTGACACATGGTAAGGGTTTCATGGGGACTGGGCAGCGTGGATGAGGGAGCAAGGGTCGTATAGCTAGCTATTTGTTTAGGTTACTAAAGACTGAACTCATGTTCCTATTTGTTCATTGATACAGCTTTCTTTTGTGATGATTACTCTTTTAGCTGGGAACTGAACTTTCCTCTTCTCCGTCAGCATGTAGGGCAGGTGAGACTCCATCACCAGCTGCCCTGGCTGTGTCTTTGTGTCGAGCACATTGCATGGAAGCTAACTGTGCTTTTGGACCTGGAGTAGGGGGCTGCTAGCCTTCCAAATGGTTCCCAGTCTCCACAGGCTCTGACGGTGCGGGACGTCTGTCCATCTCAGTTATTACAGTTGATAATGTATTTGCTTTTATTTTTGCGATGACCCTTTTCTTATATTTATCTTTTCTACAAACATTGGTTCACTGTTGTTTTGTGCAAGATAGCAAGGAGAGGAGATGTGGCCATGAATACTTGCGGAGTCCTTGCTCCTCAGAAGGCCACAGTCTACTAGAGGAGATGACAGTAATAAACAGTAGTTGACATTTATTGAGCATTCTCTGTGTGGCGTGTTCCACTTAAGCTCTAATCTGAGCAATAATGATATGAGCCAGTGTGTCTGATGGTCACCATTTTATAGAAAGAAAATGACAAGTTTCAATAGTTCTTGAGGAACTAATCTAAAACCATAATTCTAAGGGAAGGGTCAGGCTCAGGCTCAATTAGTTGGGCTACAGGATCCTTGCCCTGTGCCACTAGGTGAAGGAGACGTACGGGAATGAGGTTAGCTGAGTTGTATTGGACGTCCACTGTACCAGAAAAAAAGAAATATGCCCAAAAGTAACTTGACAAACTGTTGGGGATGCTGCAACAAGTTCAAGGCCAGATGGGGCCAGTGGAAAGATGGACAGAGGGGTAAGACAGAGCTGAAGGAGTAATTGAAAAGGGTTTTTCCGAGTGCTCATCTTGAGTGCCATAGAGGAGTTACAAGTAGAAATGTGGTATTTTGTGAACGTAACTTGGTCATAGTGTGGGGCATGGCCTGAGGTAGACAAGAGCTGTTCCAGAAGAATTTTTTTGCAGAATCTGCAAACAACAAATGAAGTTCTGTAGCAGAGATGGAGTGAGAAAGAGGGAGCCAGAGCAGGGAAATCACTGAATGAGGTGGAGAGTTGTGTCACCAGCAAGACAGCAGACAGGTAGCTTCATTGTGGTCACTTCGGACTTTTATGCAGGTGACTGGATGGGTGGGTCTGGACCTAGGGAAGAGGACTAAGATTCAAATATAAATTTGCTAGTAGCAAATTGCAAAATACTTGAAGTCATGGGAATACATTCCTTGGGTAGAATATGCCAATAGAAAGAATAGATGTGGCCAAGGCGAGCTCCGTAACAGAAATAGGGGTGCAGGCCCTCAGTGGAGGAGATCCCAGGTATGGGACAAGCCAGGGGTTTGGGTAGTAGCTGGGGCCAGAGAGTTGACCAGATACAGGATGGAAAAGTGCCATTGGATTTAGCATGGGGAGTTTGGGAACCTGACCAGAGGACCATCCAGAGACCAGAGAGGTAGCAGTCTTGGCACCTGCCTCAGCACAGCAAGTGCAGCAGTTGGACATGTCATCACAAGGAATCCACTTACAGAGTTTTTCAAGGGTGCAGGTCATGGAACCTAGAATCTTAAGGATCGTATAGTTCACGCTAATTTCACTTGAGGCAAAATGAAGTCCAGAGAGAATTGGTAACCTATTCAAAGGGCCAAAGTCCCCAGATTTTGAGCCTTTCAAAAGTTAAGGTGAGGGGTGAGGTTTAGAGCATGGAGCTGAGGTGGGGTCTGGGTTTGATCATCCCAGATGTGTGACCTGATCTTTCTTTACTTATTTCTTTATTACTATTATTATTTGTTTAATGTGTGAGATGGGGGTGGTAAATGCTTGGGAGTACAGGTGTCTGAGGAGGTCAGAGGTATCAGATCCCCTGGAGCCGGAGATAAAGACAGTTGTGAGCTGCCTTATGTGGGTTCTGGGGGCTGAACTAGGGTTCTCTCCAAGAGCATTATACATTCTTAACCACTGAGCCTTCTCTCTGCTCCCATTTCTTCTGAATTACTGGTTCTCAACCTTCCTAATGCTGCAGCCCTTTAATACAGTTACTCAGGTTGTGCTGTCCCCAACCATCAATTTTCATTGCTACTTTGTAACTGTAATTTTGTAAATATCTGTGTTGTCTGATGGTCTTTTTGGAGGGGGGGGGGATTGTTTGTTTTTGCTTTTTGAGACAAGGTTTCTCTGTGTAGCCCTAGCTGTCCTGGAACTCACTTTGGAGACCAGGCTAGCCTCAAACTCACAGAGATCCTCTTGCCTCTGCCTCCTGAGTGCTGTGATTAAAGGTGTGCGCTACCACCACTCTGCGACTTTTCCAGTAGTCGTAGGTGACCCTTGCAAAAGGGTCACTTGACACCCCCCCCCCCCAGTGGGTCACTACCCACAGATTGACAACCACTCCATTTGAAGTGGAGTCTGAGAGAATTGACAGATGTAAAGCACTTAAAGTCACACCCCACATATCAGTAAACCACGTGTTTGCTGTTCTTAATGTATAATGTGTGCACACGCACATGTGCACACAAGCATTTAGAAAGCAGTGATCACATTATATTTGCTCATGATCTCGAGCGACACTGTGTTTGTGCATGAGTTTATTGAAAAACGTATTGTTTGTATACTAGGAAAATTTGAGTGTTTAGAAAGAGATTTAATGGAAGACTGTCAGTCGCAGATCAAGATATGTTAGGAAAGATAGGAAATTTGCTTATATGGTGTGGTTGAAACAGCATTTTCAGTGAGTCTTTTTTAAGACGTGCAGAGTCTTCTTTATCCCTGAGAACAGAAACATAAAGGCATTCCAGAGTCAACCCTGTAAAGGGTTTCTTTGTTTCCATCCGACAACCAGAACTGTAACCTATTTACACTTCAGTCCCTGGAGTTGGACTTTCAAATGTATCCTGATTTTGCAGAGGAAAAAGAAGCTACAAAGTAGGAAAATCCATGCATTGGATTTCTGAAAAGAAAAAAAAGAGCTGGGTTATTTAGAGAAATATGATCATCTTCCAGAGTTTGTAGTCGAGCAAATCTAATTTTTAGCTCTTAAAACAGCCTAAGCAGCCTCAACAACATTATCTAGATGGGCTTGGGTGACATGCGGTATAGACAGCTTCGGGGTAAGTGACACTCAGACTTGATTAGGACGCAGTAATCCTAGAAGGATATAAATTGAACTGGATTTACGGCCTAATAAAAACGTGGGAAGAAAAGATAATGCTCCCTGACTCATGGAACTTGAACAGTGTTTGCTAGACTCGGAGTTGTGACATTCAGATGGGAACGCTTCTGTTGGTCTCCACCTGGTTCCACAGGGCCTGCCCTGTCCCTCCCTCGGGATGGGAGGCTGCCTTGGTCTTCTTGGGTGCGTTTAGGAAGTACAGATCCCGTTCCGCATTAGTTTTCCCACAATCTCAAGCAACACTGTGCTGTCTTGGGAAAGTAGTTATTGAACATCTATTTCCTGTAATCTTTAGTGAGGAAAAAATAATTACAGTGTCAGAAAGGCTTAGGTTATTGCTCATTCCTATTCCAAAACCTTTTCCTGAGAATTACATGGTTTGGTCCTGTACTCCCCTCACTGTTTCTGTTGGTAATAAAAACATATACACACCTTACCACGGCTGCTTGCTCCTGTCTGAATATGCTGGACAGATAACACCAGCCTTTTATTGAACCCTGGAGGCCTGTGTTTGCCATTCTACACACAGTAATTTTTCTTAAATCACAACAACTCCTTGTGACAGGGACAATATTATTATCCCCATTAGTCACATGGGGAGACTGAGGTTCAAACCTGTGAAGTCACTTGCACGTGTCACACAGCTAATACCTAGTGAGGCTGGGCCTGGGTGCTTCTCCCTGCTTCTGAAGGCTGTTTATACCTCGTTCCCTGTTCTTTTGCCTTTGCTCTGCAGTTACTATGT